TGTTTTTGAAGTTAGCAATAAATTGGTAGGGTTCTCACCCTGACTAACTGTATATGCTGATACATGTGAACTAAGCAACTGCATTGAAGATGGCAATTTGTAATAGTAGGTTCATGCTTGGAGTGCCTGTTATTCTGGTCTTCTCAATACATGCTGCCTGTCATGACTCATCGGTTGCTACTGGGCTGTCTCTCAGGTAGATGTTTGTTTAAAAAGGAAGAGGGTGGTGAATGAAGGCAGGAGACATGAAAAGGGGTGTTGCAGGGCTGTCCCACTACAATGCTGTATATGGTTAGATTTCTAATCTTCTGTATAAAAATATGCAATTGCTTATTCCTATTTTTAAAAATATATTTTAATTTTTAAAATTTTTTTCTTCATATTCTGTAGGGACTTAAAGTTTAACATATCAATAATTGATGAGAAATACCTGTTCCATGTTATGCCTAAGATGTTTGATACTCAGACAGATAGTGAGGTTAAGCTGAACAGCCTACATTGTAGAGTAATAAGAGTAAGTTTCTCTTTTGGAGGGTTGACAACCTAAGTTTGCAAACCAAAAATTAGAGAAAAAGAAGGGCTGCAAGAACAGCCAGCATTTTGGCCCTAGCCTTTCAAGGTCAGTGAAGACTCAGGACATAGGAGAACCTTTACTATAACATTATGTAACTCAGTTGTGTCCCAAATTTTTTGATCAAGGAGATTATGGAGCCACACAGGAAAGTGATCACTGATGTAGAGTGTGCCTAAGGAGAATCACATAGAGAGAAAACATTCTCTCAGGCTTTCACAGAGAACAAATTGGTCAAGCAATGGCCATGACTCATCCACATGGCTGACACTGACAAAGGATCTACAAACTATGGTACAGGGGTTCAGGATTAAGTCTGGAGGGGATTTGACTGACCTTATCAAGTACAAAATCTACATTTCTTATTATACAGGTCCTGCTTTATTATAACCATCCAGCAGAAAAGTGTAAAAACAAAGTATAAAAAGTAAAGCCATATTAATATGCTGAGCTGTAAAAGGCTCAAGTCAACACCTTCTTACATTGCCAGTCTTACAGAAAACCCACTACTACTATGGACTACTGGACTATATTGGAATATTTTGCTGTATTCATGCACCTGTAATATTTAAATGACAAAACTAAACAAAAAAAGGGAATATAAATGAATGACCATTTTTTTTTGGGGGGGGGAGGGCAGAACCGGGGATTGAACTCAGACTCTTGTGCTTGCCCCGGAAGCACTTATTCTATTGAGCCATCTCTCCAGCCCCTGAACAACCATTTTGTATCTATATACGCAAAGTAGTTAAGATAGATATACAGCTACATTCTCTTAATTCAATGAATAGAAAAAAATTGTTCTAATAGTGTTTGTAAACAGAATATGATGTTTGAATCTTATACAATGAATAAACACAGACAACAATATGCAATGTATTAATTATTGAAACTGTCCTACTAATCATATTTGTAACTGTCTCATTGCTATTTGTTTCTCAATAAAATTATGGGGAAAATCAAATAACTAAATTATCACATTCTGTATACTAAACATGTATGGATTTTTGGAGATATTCTGTAGCGTGAAAGAATTTTGAACATGGTCTTAGTTCATTTGATTTTTATGACAACATCTCCTTCTTTAATTCATGGCAGCCTCAAACTGACTATAAAGTTCAGAGTGGCTTGACCTCCTGGAAATCATCCTGCATCAGTCACCCACGCGCTGGGATTATAGGCATGCACCAATGTGTGTGGACTGTTACATATTTATTGATTTAGCCTTGTTTGTGCCGTTTGCTTGCTTTTAATATTTCTGATTTTTAAGGAACATTGTGAAAGCACATTACCTTGCAATTTTCCTGTAATTTTTATACTCATCTTCAACTTGATGGTCATCCCAGTTTTTTCCTAAAGTGCAGGAAAAAAAATGTAATGATGAGGTACTACATTGTATAACAGTTATAGTTTCTATTTAGATTCATGGTCTAATGTGACCAAGACTGGAAGATCCATGAAAATATTTCCATATTCCAAAAAAGTACACTGTGCTGATGAGTAATAGCAATGCTCCCTGACTGCATAAATGAGAAATGATATCTTCCTTACCTATATCAGCCAGATTCCTAAAGGTTTCCCACATCACATCTCTGTAGAGCTTCTTCTGGGATGGATCCAGCAAAGCCCACTCCTCCAAGGTGAAGCTCACAGCCACATCCTCAAAGGTCACTGCCTCCTAAACAATCAGATATATATTTCCAGGAAGAACTATGAGATTCATAACACAATATTTCAAATCTACTTATAAGAAGTTGAAATGAGGCTGTGTCCCATAAATGGTTGCCTTCCAATGTAGTCTAACTTACCTAGTAAAGCTTTCTTTCAATATAGATGAAAAAATATGGACACTTCATGAAAAGGACCAGGTTATGAGATATGTGAATTACTTCAGAAAATACTCAACAATATCCTAGGTAGAAACACTGAAGCCAATACGGATATTCTTTAATGAACCCTCTGGTTTAATAACTTTTGGGATTATAAGAGTCACATCGTTTCTGGCTTATGAACCACCACCACTGAGACACCCATTTTCCTTTTTATACACTCCTGCACCTATATTTATTCATTTATGTATGTATTTGCTGAACTGGGGATTGAACTCAGGCCCTTGCGCTTGCCAGGCAAGTGCTTATTCTACCGAGCCACCTCCCGGCCCCTTGCCTGCACCTACTGATAGAGCCTCAATGCCAAAACCCCTTAAAAAGATATTACTGAATGGAATATAGCATGTCATCAAAAAGGTCATACATAATCAATTAGCCTTCAACCTAGAGTTGCAAGGATGACTCAATATGCATATATCAATAAATGTAATTCATCACATGAACAGAATTAAGCTCACAAATCATGTGATCACATGAACAGATGCAAAAAACATTGAATAAAATCAAAACACATTTTCATGACAAGAACCATGAAAAAAATTATGTCTAAATGGCCATGCCTGAATTGATAAAAGCTATTTATAACCAAAATATCATAATATTTTGATATTATGATATTATTTCCCCAACTAATATCATAATAAAAGGGGAAAATTAGAAGAATTCCCTCTACAGAAGCAGAAGAAGCAGTGCCGCTACAAGCCAAAAAAGCCCACCGGCCATGACAGATCCCCAGGAGTCCCCTTCCAAAAGGGGGCCCATCCCCATCCACGGAGGGCGGCGTAGGTCCGGATTCTCCTTCTTTTCATGGATTCAGGTGCTGGAGAATCTGGTAAAAACACCATTGAGAAGCAAATGAGGATCCTGCATGGTAATGGACTTAATGGAGAGGGCTGCCAGGAGGACCTGCAGGCTGCAAGGAGCAACAGCAATGGTGAGAAGGACACCAAAGTGCAGGACATCAAAGACAACCTGAAGGAGGCTACTGAAACCATCGTCCACCATGAGCAACTTGGTGCCCCCCGTGGAGGTGGCCACGCCTGAGAACCAGTTCAGAGTGGACTACATTCTGAGCGTGATAAACTTGCCTGGCTTTGACTTCCCACCTGAATTCTACCAGCATGCCAAGGCTCTCTGGGAGGACGAAGGAGTCCGTGCCTGCTAGGAGCACTCCAACGAGTACCAGCTGATCGACTGTGCTCAGTACTTTCTGGACAAGATTAATGTCATCAAGCAGGCCGACTACATGCCCAGTGACTAGGACCTGCTTCGCTGCCGTGTCCTGACCTCTGGAATCTTTGAGACCAAGTTCCAGGTGGACAAAGTCAACTTCCACATGTTCGATGTGGGCGGCCAGTGTGACCAACGCTGCAAGTGGATCCAATGCTTCAATGACGTGACTGCCATCATCTTCGTGGTGGCCAGCAGCAGCCACAGCATGGTCATCTGGGAGGACAACCAGACCAACTGCCTGCAAGAGACTCTAAACCTCTTCAAGAGCATCTGGAACAACAGATGGCTGCGCACCATCTCTGTGATTCTGTTCCTCAACAAGCAAGATCTGCTCGCTGAGAAAGTCCTTGCTGGGAAATCGAAGATTGAGGGCTCCTTTCCAGAATTTGCTCGCTACACTACTCCTGAGGATGCTACTCCTGAGCCCGGAGAGGACCCACGCATGACCCGGGCCAAGTACTTCATTAGAGATGAGTTTCTGAGAATCAGCACTGCTAGTGGAGATGGGCGCCACTATTGCTATCCTCACTTCACCTGTGTTGTGAACACTGAGAACATCCGCCGTGTGTACGACTGCCACGACATCATCTAGCGCATGCGCCTTTGTCAGTACGAGCTGCTCTAAGAAGGGAACTTCAACCTTAATCAGAGCCTTAAGCACAATTAATTGAAAGTGAAACATAATTGTACAAGCAGTTAGTCACCCACCGTAGGGCATGATTAACAAAGCAACCTTTCCTTTCCCCTGAGCAATTTTTGTGATACCCCCTTTTCCCTTCTGCTTGCTTAGATGTTCCAAATTTAGACAGCTTAAGGCGGCCTACAGAAAAAGGCCACAAAAGTTTCTCTCACTTTCAGTGACTAAAATAACAGTAGCAAACAGAAACAAAAAATAAATGAAACAAATGAAATATTGTCTTGTGCAGCATTAAAAAATCAAAATAAAAAATTAAATGGGAAAAAAAAAGAATTCCCTCTACAATTGAGAACAATTCAAAGATGCCCAATAGTACCACCTACATTTGCATTAATATTTGAAATGTGAACGAGAGCAACTAGGCAACAGAAAGAATTAAAAGGGATATACAGTATATAGGATAGGAACACCTTCAATGACCATTATTTGCTGAAGTCATGATACTCTACATAGAAGACTCAAAGAATTACACCAAGAAATATTCTTAGATTAATAATCAGTTCAGCAAAAAAAAAAAAAAAAATTCAGCAATGTAGCATGACACAAAAGTGACTAAATAATCATTAGCATTTATTTACTCCACCCTGAAGTTAATGAGGGTACCATGAAAACAATATCATTCACAAAACCACCAAGAAAAATAAAATACCTACTCTAGGACTTATCCTAGCCAAGGAAGGGAAAGACTTCTTCAAAGAAAACTACAGTACTCTTTCAAAGGGTATTCAAGAGGACAGAAACATGGGCTCTGGTTTTGGATAGGCAAAATCAATACTGTCAAAATGACCACACTCCTGTGGAGCACAATGCACATTCTTACAATCCCAGCACTCAGAGATTATAAGAATGTGCATCATGTTCCATAGAAGGATTTCTGTGAACATGAGGTCAGTTTGTGATAAATACAAGTTCAAGGCCAGGCCTGCATAACTAGCTTATCTCCAATATCAAAATATAAGGAAAATGGAAATAAGCTGAAAAACTATTTTAAAGACTCAAAACATCATGTACAGAAAACATTCCTGTAATCTATATGGAACCAGAAGAGAAAGAGAATAGCACAAACTCTCATGGGCAAAAAGAACACAAAAGGAGGCATCAATATATCTGATGTCAAGCTACTATACAAAGCAGCAGTTTCACAAAACTGAAACAAAAACACACATGTGGATCCACGGAACAGAATGGGAAGTAAAGAACCCCAGATATGCTCAGTTATGTGACCCCTGAGGGTCCTCCAACAATAGCATACACTGAAAGAAAGCCTATTCAACAAATGGTCCCTGGAAAATTGGTTATTTTTTGGCCAAAGACTGAAAATGAAATTGTGTCACTTACCATGTAGCAAATCAAAATCAAAATGTACCGAAGATCTAAACACTAAAGCTAAAACATTAATCTATGGGAAGACAAAATTAGTGAAACACTGGAAGACACAGAACAACTAAACAAGAATCAATGAAAGGTGTCACATCTAATTTAAACACTTAGGAACAGCACAGGAATCATTAAGTAATGTGAAGAGACAACATGCAGCATAAGCCAACTCCAGGCAAAGGCCTAATATCTACAATATTGAAAAAGTTAAAAAAAAAAAAAAGGGGGGGGGGGGCTGGTGAAATGGCTCAGTGGTCTAAAGCACCTATTTGGAACAAGCTTAGCAAAGCACAGGGACCATGGTTCAATCCCCAGCACCACATGCCAGCCAGCCCGCCCCCTGGTGGGCTGAGCTGGCCACACACACACACACACACACACACACACAAATAAAAATTAAAAAAAAAAAAGTTAAAAAAAAAAAATCAGACCATCTAAAAAAGACCCAATGAGAAAATGCACCAGTGCAAGAGACATTTCTCGAGAAAGAAAACCAAAAGGACAATAAACATTAAAAAGTGTTCACCATCCTTGGTAATCAGTGAAATGCAAATCAAAAGAATACTAGGTTTCATGTTATACCAGAAAGAATAGCAAACATCAGAAAATAACAGAAAAAAGTCAACTATATTTTTCACTAAATAAAAAACTTTAATTACTAGAAGCAATCCAAATTGAGCAGTGGCATAAGTGAGTGAAATGGCTGAAATACAACGTTTCGTGAAATTCCACGGGCAAGAGACTGATGCTAAGAAACCACAAACTAATCATGATAATAATAATAATGCTATATTAAACTTTACCATTAATTTATCCAACATTGCAAAGTATCTCAACTAAGTACAGTTTTGCTAGTGTTGAGGCGGTGAAGCTGTGCAGGTCCACAACAGTCTGTGCTCTGCCCACTTCCAAGGTTGCGAAGATGAATTCAGGGAAATAGGCAGGAATTAACAAACGTTCATTGGTATCCTGTGGATTTCTATATTCATGTTAAAAGAAAAGCAAGTATTTTACTTTTATATTATCCTTTTTTTTTTTTTAGAGATAACCATTTTCTCTGCTCAGCTTCCCAAAAGTCACAATCTTTGGGTTAAACCATGAAAAAATATCCCCAAAGCAACTTCCTTTTTATACAAACGTCTTCCTGCTAATGAAGCAAGAGGAAAGCAGGGAGGGGAGTTGACCTGCTTCACCAGTGTGCAGGAAACTCACCTCCAAGAGCTTAGACACTTTCCTGAGGCTGCGAGTGACTTTCACTGGGAAGTCCAGGGTGATTCCAACGTGGTTATCGAGGCTAACAGGAAAAGCCAGAAATTTGAATTTTTCCCAAAGTAAGAAAGTCAAAATTATGATTATAAATTAAATGTGACCACTTCTATTGGGATATATTTATTCTTTTTCTTTATTAGTACATGTTTGCATATATAAATGACTGTGTTCATCATGCAGAACTTATACCTGTAAATAATATATCTTAACATT